AAAAAAAAAAAAAAAAAAAAAAGAATTAAAGAAACTAACTGCTCTTTTCGATGCATGATTGCCACTTGGCTGTCATCTTGTAGCTTGCAATAGTATTAGGCTTCCGGGCCATTATATGCAAGAGTGTATCTTGATTTATGTCTGGTTTGGTCGCTGACCAATCCTTCCCCTTTAGAATAATCAAAGCTATATCTGTAACGAATGAGCTCATGAACTAAGAAAAGAACTATCGAACCACTTGAGAGCCGCCCTAGCCCTCACTCGTTAGGAAAGGTTAGGATACGAATGAAGGGACTGAACCATTCAAAAGGTGTCATTGTTAGGAATCATGATTCTCCACAATAGTATGATATTGTCCACTTTGAGTCTAAGCTCTTATGGCTTTGCTTTGGGCTTCTCCAAAAGGTCTCATACAAATGAAAATAGTATTCCTCACTGGTAAACCCATGATTTTCCATTAATTAATGAAGGTGGGACTCACTTCTAATAATCCTTAAAAATAGTGTCATTTACTTATCTATTCAATGAAGGGACCAACCGAATCTTTTCCCTTAGGCAATCTAGAATTTCAAAAATGTTGTAACGACCTATCTCTAGGATTTGGATCAGAATTTAAATCCATACTCAATATTTGATGGCTCTGACATTACCTTCGAACATGATCACATTCAACATGTTTTGTCTTCCCTCACATACATCCTAGGAAAATTCCTACGAGCTTATCCAATATAGAATTGCTCCAAGCAAATAATGCCACCAAAATGTGCACTTTATTGGTATGACAATGACTTTCAGATGCAGTCTCGGTTCATTCATTTACCCCTCTCGTTTACTCAAATATCAATAACTATTTATGTATTACTCGTAAAAATATTGACACGAGCTAAGAAAGAGTAGGAAACAAACCATAATGATTTGCAGAGATGGCACCAACAAGAAGCTCCAATTCCATTTCTGGGGCAATACAATCCTTCTGACTGAGGAGATAAGAAACCATGTCGTTGTGTTTATATCTTGCAGCAATTAAAACAGGGGTTATATTTGGACCCACTAATCAAATCTTTACGCTTTTCCACCATGGACTTGGCGATATCAAGGCCGCCTAACGTAGCAGCGATGCAAAGGGCTGTGTTTCCATAGCTATTTTCAATGCCCAAGTCTTCATCGCTCAGTCTCGCCACTAATTTCTGCACAAAACCAACCTGGTTGAATCTTGTAGCAATATGCAGAGCAGTCTCGTTTCTATCCTCGCTTATAACCTCTGAAAGAATTCCCGGATTTTCCATTTCAAGTTACTCCGCCGTTCCCCAGTCGCCATTCATGGCCGCTTTGCGCAGGCGACATCGAGCGTCGTCGTTGCCCGAACCATTGCCCTCTGAAACACCAACCCAAACCAATAATTGTATGAGTAAATTGTATATTTACTTTAGACCACATACATCTCTAATATCATACCATAGTCGAAAATATATTTGACACCGCTAATCAGAGCATCCCATTCACTTGCGGCAGCTCGACCTCCAACACATTGTGTACGGAAGAACTGGAACTCCTCATTTTTGGCTAATTAACCCTTCTGTAAAAGTTGATCAATGCTTTGAAAAGCAATGAGATTTGCAGACCCTTTAAAGAAATGAGAAGACCTGTGAGTATATTGACTTCAAATGAATTGACTTTTCAAAGTCAAACCAATTTTGAAACATCGGAGTCTCCGAAGACTTCCAATTTGTTTGGATTTTGTGTCTTTTTTTTTTCCACATAGAAAAGTATGCGACCTTCAAACATTCATCCATCCATTTCATGTTTGCTCTATACAAAAATACAAACTGCAGCTTCCTCCCTTTTCTGTATGTCAATTACAAAGAGAAAAAATAACTTTTCTTTTTCTGAATCAATCAAACTAACAAGAAGAAGAGTCAACTTTGGTAGTCCATTTGAGAGACGAAAAGGATTTCGGAAGAACATTCTAAACACGTGCTATAATAATTGGGACAAAGGATCCTAATCTCACGAGGATGTGCTAATTTCAAAAACTCATGTCATCAGTTCAGATGGTAGGTGGTAATTCGTCAATATGAAGTTGAAATTCATAATAATCGCGAGTGAATTTATTCATCCCCAAAGTCATTACCTTTTAGATGAATCCCCTTTATCTTTGATTCACAAAAATAAAATGGAGGATCGATGTCAACTGTGTTGAACACAACTCTCTGTACAAAACACTCGCACTTTTTATTAACATCAATCGAGAAGAGAATACATTTTCTCGAATACTACT